TACTAGAGGTCCCATCCCGGATTTCACTGGTACAAAAAGTACACACTGTACAAAATTCTACAAATGTTTTTTGTCTAAAACTGGCAAAACAATGGAAAATAATTACATTTTCTTTCTGTTTACAAGCCCTAATTGTTTATAGTAATAGGAGAACACCCTCCTAAATTTCTAACGACTGACATCGGAGAACAAAACAGCAACAAAACGCATCGACCACCGCTATTGGTTGAAGCCAACAGGAAATAAACTGATAAACTTATCTGACACCAAGTTACTCTCTGGTTGTTATTTTTGTGTTTTCTAAAATTAAAATGTTTAGAGAAAGAAAACWTTTCTGTTCCTTAGTTTTCACTGTATAAACAAGAACTTTTTTCTTGGTGGTTGTTCTTGTTTCTAGGTTGATCCTAGCGGGGAGATCATGGTGTTCTCTCAGAGTGGGTGTCCCTGGAAGGAGCACTTGTTTGCACTGGAGGAGGAGCTGCAGGTGGAGGTCCCCATAAAGTTTGTCCTTTATTCAGATCAGAATGGACAGTGGCGGGTCCAGTGTGTTCCTGCAGGGCTCCACACCTTCCAGAACAGGTATTTATGCAGAGCAAAAGTCAAAACCCCACTTTGATCTTAAATTTGCTTTTCCTTTAGTTGTTAAAGGTCATTTATAGGCTGTTTCTGTTTGAGGTTCATTGTTTGTTTTTTTTTGTACATCTTAGGGGACATCTTGTGACTCTTACCTTTTAGCAGAAATCAAACACGTAGCCCTCTCAGGAGTGTTGTGGCATACAAAAATTTTTCCCACAGGGCCGTTTCAAACAGGTTGCAAACACGATGACAGCTGTATCTTCGTCACTTTATATATACCGGTATGTGTGTGGAACTGAGTTAAGCCCCAATGACACAGACAAACCAGGGAGTACGATTGAACTTTCAAGCTTACTGGACCATTTGACACATGTTATCCAGTGAGAGAATATCTTTTACAAGGATAAAATACTTGTTTCATTTTATTTTATTTTGTACCCGTTTGTTTGCTGAAGGTAACACTTCAGTCATGGCAGCGGTTTTGTTCTTACATTGCTCTCCAAGGAGCTAAAAAGATGTAAACACACTCTACAACACACTGCACTTGAATGCAGCCACCTGAGTCTTTTTTTTCCATACACACCCCTCTCACTCACATTTTTTTTCTCCGTCATCTCATTCTTAATTAGATCCAGTGCTTYAAATAAACCAAGGTGACACATTGAATGTTTGACAGATTCTCTCACTTGCAGCTCCTACTTGCATATTTTAGGATTTTCATATGAATGAATGTGGAATTCACGAGTCCCTTCTATCCAATTTACATATTTTACACCATTATCTACTCATCAATTTCAGAATATAAATGTGATTTATACTTCTTAATAAAGTCCCCTAAGATTATTTTTCAATAACAGCAAAGATCAGAATAGTGTTTGGTACAAATGTGCTGAAGTTAAACAGAAATAATTTTATGTTGTCAAAGTAGAAAAGTTAATTATTGCTGCTTTACAAGAAGGAGAACTAAAAACAACACAGCAGTAGCAGCGTAGGGTTCTAATCAAAGCTTTGTTTCAGCAGGCAAACTGAGATGGAAACAAAAGTATCCCGGTCTAATTAAATTAACAACAAAATCTACTGTGTTTTTATGGTTTTTTACATCCACAATAAGCTCAAAGTGCTYATAGCAACAGTCTTATTTGCTCCCATCTTCATGTTGGCAATGAGTATTAAAATGTTTTCTAAAATGACATGTTTTTAATTACACAATATTAACACTAAAACAATAGTTTTCTGTATATCCTGCCCATGTCACCAAAACATCTCTGACCCATCAGATAAAGGAATGTGGCGTTTCGTATGACCGGAGGTGCCCAAAAACTAAAATTCTATCAGCTTGAGGGTGAGACCTCTAAAATTCAAGTCTGATRCGACAGCCCTTTGGACAGTCATTGAATCAGACTGAAATTGTTGCATTTGGTGTTCGGTTCAAAAGACGGTCAGTTTTGCTCTTTGACCTYCTGATTTGTGCAGGTTGGGAGCACATCGTTGCTTTCAGGGATAGTA